GGCCTATTACGAAAACTTCTCCAAAGTAAAACAATAATAATCAGGAGAACAATAATACATGTGGACAGAACAATCGTAACATTTCGCCATTTACTAGAGTCACAATCGCAATCTATCTTCTTCTGTTTGGTCCATATAGGGCATTCAACGTCGTCACCGGTGGCCATACAACCAAGAATTTTCATGGCCTCCCTTTCACCACTTCGTTGACCACCAATAATATACCCGTTGTATTTCTCATCAGTGTGCTCTCCTCCGAAGAATATTCGGCCGACACGAGATTGGATCTTTTGAAAGCATTCTTCTGACACTTCAACCGGCCAGTTTGAGTAAGCACCATAGGTGAAGGAGTTCATACTCCAGTTAGTTTGATGGATTTCAGTTGGTGCAGTAGCTCCATCAAATAGCGTACGAAGGACAGCCGTGATCTCCGCACTGGTTTCATCGTTCGACTGCTGTTCAATTCTTCTCGCCTCATTTCCCACTACAAAGGCTACAAGCATGTTGGTTCCTCTCGGGAACAATCCTGTAATTAAACTCATTAAGGTAACTAATCTAAAATGTAATTCGAGAATGTGTACTAGTTATATGTAGGCTATTTATGATGTACAGTATTATGTAAACTAATAGATAGCGAATAATAACAGTGCACAAGTAGGAACATATGATGTTATAATCATATCAAGCATACCTCTTTTTTTTCTTAAAAGATGAATAGAAGTACAGTATTCGATTTTGAAAGCGAAATAGAAATATAAAGATAAGATGGAGAACAGATTTATTGAAAACTACAGAGAATCAGCATGGAAAGCAAGGCAAATTTTTACTACAATAAAAAGAGGTAAGTATCTGAAAATATTGTTTAAACTTTGATTATAACAACATCAACCACTGACCAATCAGAATGTGTTATTGATACAGATTGGCTTGGAAATTAAGCAAACAAAAAACATAGGCCTATCTGTGAAAAAAATATTTGACTACAGTACCATTGCAAAATGTATTTAGTTAAGGATATGTCCCATAGAACCGAATTAATAAAATACATTAGCGCCCCTAATTAATGTACTTTAGTTGTTTCTATGCCTTGTTAAAATTGTATCTATTAGCCTGAGCCCAAAGGAGCGAAGCTCCTTCTTCATGTTGTCGCTGTCACTGTCGTTGTTGGGCATTTTTTGCTACCAAGATAACTAAAGTTTGGTAAGTCCGATATTGTTTTTGGTACGTCTGTGAATATGGTAATTGCTCATTTCATAATTAATATTTCCACTAATCATGTAATTTAGTCGGAGAGAGTTAGCCCTCCTTGTCGGGGAGAAAAAGCTTAATTCGTCAGGGAGGAAAAAAATTACATGTATTTTCTACATAGGCCTATTAGTAGACTATAAAATCGATTAAATAAGTCTTTGAAACTCCTAGACCACTTTCAAAACGCTTTAATCGAAGCTCGACCACACCCACTTTGCTTTCGTTGGGGAAATCTGACCCCTCGCCGGGGACGTCGCCCCCCCCCCGTTGGGCAAATCCTGGCGCCACCCCTGCGAGCCCAAAGGATCGAAGCTCCTTCTTCATGTTGTCGTTGTCGTTGTCACTGTCATTGTTGGGCATTTTTGGCTACCAAGATAACTAAAGTTTGGTAAGTCCGATTAGTTTCAAAATTGGCATAATGCAAGATGGTAATGAAAAGACGGAGCCTATTGTTTTTGGTACGTCTGTGAATATGCGAGCAGTCCAACTACACATACATACCGTACGTGTACACTGTCGTTTTGTCTGGTCTTAGCAACAAAATCAATGAGGAACGATGTATTACAAATAAATGCACCACAGAAAGAAAACTAAAATAATGAAAAGCGTGGGTTCACTAATATGAAAATGTAAACACGTGGGCTTGCTACGTGTATGTATTGATTTATTATTCAAATCACCTCTTATTTATAATCATACACCAGACATACTCAGCCTACCTTCAGCTTCCAGATTGTAAAACACAGGGAAATACCCTCGTCTCGCGTGCGCATGCACAAACCATTCCTCATCTGACCAGAATTTACTGTCAAACTTCATAAAGATTTTAGTATAATCTGCCATGATGAATTTATACAGTTCCTGAATTTTCCATTTTGGGAGTTCGGGTTGAAAGTCTACAACTTCGTTCTGCAGGACTCCGAGACTGAACGTCATCAACACGTAATCACCAGTAAAATTGGTTCCATCTTTGCACGTCACAACCACTTTATCGCCTTCGTAATTCACGGCAGTAACGATCTTGTTCAACTGAAGACGATCTCTAGAAAATGTTTGTTTTGTTAATTACATATGAGGAGGTTGATGACAAGAACGCGATTATCTTATCCAACAGTTTCACGTATCTCAGGCTCTTCCAAAGCGGCATACCCAGTGGTGGGGGGGGGGGTAGGAGCAGTACCCCTCCAGGGAGAAAATTGATTGAACTAACTTTTCAAATCCCTGTTTTTTTTCCCCCTGGACACCTTTTTTTTTAGAGTGGGGGGGGGGCGGGGGGGTCGTGGTTCTGTGTTGCGTTGGCCCGCCCACTTAAGCTATCGCCGGCGAAATCGGCCTTCTCGTCGGAGACATCGCAATGGGCAAGCAATGGGTCTGTTCTACGCGTTTGGCCAGTATATATATACAGTGATATTTTTGTCATGATGATGTTACTTACTCAAATGCTGGGTCCTCGTAAAGGAAAGCAGTAGATTCTTTGAATATATACTTGAACCCACGTGGATCCTTAACAAATAATATATCATCATCGGTTTCTAAGAGAGCTGTTGACTTAGTTGAGGTTACCTGAGAAAAAAAACAATATAT